TCTAGCAACACCAACATCCCATTAAGTTTAATTTCTGCTTGTATTATTTTATTTTAATTTATTTTATTTTTTTATTTTGTTATTAGGCTTAATTTCTTTTATTTTTATTTATTTTTTCATTATTATTTTTTGTTTGGGCTTAATTGACGCCCCTACCCCCGTGCTTTCATCGAGCGCAACGACTCCCGCTGACTATCAAAGGCCAAGAATGAAGTTGCTCCAAATCGGGCCATGGAGGTGGTCTTCCATTTAAGCTCTTTATTTTCGGCCTTCAGTGCGCCTATTTCTGCTCGCGCATCCTTATACATGCGCTGGAGCAGAGAGAGTTAGGCGTTGACCTGATGGAGCTCACTCATCCTGTTCTGCAATCGGTGAGCCAATTTTGTGACTGCAGTCACCGTCTCCATACAGGACGTCAGTGTGAAATGATTGGCTTCAATGTCTGATTGAGCTGCCATTATTTGCTCAATCGACATCATAGGAAGGTTGGGAAGAGTAGGAGCCGGGGCACTCGGTCTAGCAGCGCTTATAGGATCGTTCAGGTCCGGAAACAAAGTGAGGGGATGGGATGAGGAAGCCATGGTTTAGTAGTGAGAGGTGTAAAAGAAATGAGTTACAAAGAAACAGAAGAGAGTGGTGAAGAAGAGATAGAAGAGAATGGTGAAGAAGACAATGGAAGAGTGTGTGATTAAGAAAAAGGCAAAAGAGAAGAAGACATGGAGGGAGAGGAAGCCGAGGCGAGTACAAATCGAGGCCTACTTTTGTTGGCTAATGAGGCAAAAGTGAGGCCGTGTGTCAAGCGCGTTTATTGAAGGAAAAAGAGAGACGTGAGAGAGTTGTATGTGTATGCATATATATATATATATATATATATGTTTTGAATTGTATAGATGCCATTTATCCCTATCATTTTCCTCCTCCTCCTCCAGATTCTGACCCATGATTTCCTTTTGATAATGTCACAGGGGGAGAAATTATATGATGTTATGTATTATGGTATTATTTTGTTATGATGTTATGTATTATGGTATTATTTTCGGGTTATGGTAGTATTTGAAAACTAATCTAATGATTATGCATTTATAGTTTGATATCTTAGTCTCATATCATGTCTCTAATTAAAGCTTATTTATTACACATGTGCTAACCTATGTATTTATAAATGAATTCAGGGAGCATGACTTAAGGGGGAGCTTTTTCTTATTCCCAAATCAAATTAAAACATCATTGTGTGCCATCATAAAAAAATGGGAGATTGTTAGACTTATTTATTTTGATGATTTATTTAATTATGTTTTTAATTTATTTGGAAGAGAAAAATAGAATCAAAATTTATTTTGTCTCATTATTTCTTACCTAAAACTTTTATCCTAAATGTTGTTAGAATGTATTTAATATTTGATTAAATTAGAGGTTCAAACAGCCCAACACAGCAGCAGGCCAAAAGCTTCAAATGGAAGATATTCAAATTAGTAATGATGGAGTGGAAGATATTCAAATTAGTGATGATGGAGTGAAAGATATTCAAATGAATACAACGGCTATAAACGGCTATAAATTCAAATGAATACAACGGCTATAAACGGCTATAAATTCAAATGAATACAACGGCTATAAACGACTATAAGTTTCATTATATATACGAAGCCCCTAATGTAAACAAGTAACAAAAAAATCAGAAAATATTCCTTGATCAATAATCACTCTCATCTATTCTCTAAAATTTTTTCTGAGAAGTGTTCTTCAATTTTTGTTTACATCCTCTCTCAGAAATTATACATTAAGTTGTATAGTTTTAAGCCCATCTTTCATGTGTGAGGATTACAGAAAAATCAGAATCTCATTTTTATATCTATCTTTGAGAGATAATTCTTGTAGCTTTCTGTAAAAGCAAAAACACCTTCTTTTCAACCTTGTGAGAATGTAGTACACTCAGTATTCTTGACTTAGAAAGTCTGTGTAAAATCTGTAGAGGATTGCTCCATCTGTGAAAAGGTTGCTAACTCCTTGTGAAACTAGAGTATAGTGAAAAATCTCAAGTGAAGCTTGAGGAGTAGACGTAGGCCGAGTTGAACCTGAACCACTATAAATTTGTTTGCCTCTCTCTCCCTTATCTCTTTATTTTATTTAAATTGCCATAACTATATTTCACATTTTCACTGTGCTAAAATCATTAACTGACATAGTTGTTAGAACACGTGTTTTAATTATTTTTATTTCATTAATTATATTTATCTATTGTACTAGTCATAATTTTTATTAGGGTATTATTAATTTAATTGTAAAAACCTAATTCACCTCCCCCTCTTAGGTTGTCTTTTGGGTAACATGTTTGAATTAGTGGTGACGTGTAGTTTAATACTTTGTTCAAGGCACTAGTTGGACTTTCATACTTTATTCGAGGATTATATTATACCATGTTTAGGTGAGTAGTTACATGCTACATATTTTTATAAATGTTCCCCTACCCTAAACTATTGGAAAATTTAATGGTTGTTTCAGGACTAAACTGTTTTGATAAATTATTATATTATCAATGGAATTAAATTATTTCTGAAACATGTGTAAATTTGGCATATTGTAAACTATTGTTATGGTCTCATATTTATAATGTTGAACTACCATGTTTTGCGAAACTTAATTGTATTGATTATCGGGACCATTTGTATATTTAGTCCAAGAAAATTATTTCACTGTGTGTGGTGACTCTGTCTACCAGGGAACATCTCTTGTTTGGGCCATGATAACTCTAGTGCTCAACGATTGTAAGGAAAAGACCTAGGCTAGGCTAGGTGACCTTCAATCAAATTGTCTTGGAGAAAAGACTCGGGTTGCCATCCTGAGAATGACTTTTGGTTCGATATTGAATCCAACGAGCTTATTGCCTTGAGAACTTGGTAGCATGTTACCTGTTATTCTTGGTACCCAGAAAATCATTGGTGTTCATGTTGTGATCTGTTTTAAGTAAAAAATGTCATTTATCATATTCTTGAGAGATATGAGTATTTTAATTGTTGAACTATGGAATCTTCTTTTTGAAACAGATTATCTTTAACAAAATGGTATGTCAATCTAGTTTCTGTGATACATATTTTATTTTGGTATTGAACCCTGTTTTCAAAACTGTATTTACTATCCATGTTGCTACTCACTAAGATATCAGCTGACTTAGTTATTTATCATTTCCAGGTGTTAGAAGGACTTAGAGTGAACTCATGGCGTAACGGGGACTCAATTGCATGGACCTCTAGGACATTCATTTATTTTGTTTTAGATTGTTATGTCAAGTTTGTGCTCATTTCTATTTATTTTTTATTGAGGTTCAGTTAGGATTATTTTGATATGTGAGCTGTTTATACCCCATAAGTTTAGATAGTATTAATTACGGTTGGTTTTGCTGTTTATACTTGTGGCATGTCACTGGATTGAGTTTTGGCTATTTATTACTGGACTATTGTATAGTTGTTCAATGTGATTATGGATTTGTGTTTAGACTTACATGTGCCTTGGGCTAAGGTCCTGTGGGCCACGGCTGGTCATACCCGGGTTTGGGGTGTGACATTATCTCTCAATCATCAATACTCTGCATCATTTTCCCAGTCTCCCTCAAATTAATGTTAACGAAATGACATGAGTAGATTTAATTGACAAAAATGGAGAAGGAAATACAAATAAGAACAGTAAACGAAACCCAAAAACTAAAACCAAAAAAAAAAAACCCCCAAAACTGAGACCCGTATATTACACAGTATCCATAAAACATATTCTTTGCCTCGCTAGAGATGCTTTGAGATTATGCCGACATTTGTCTCCCAAGATACAACGGTTGACCACTGTTGCAGTGGCACCTTACTGAGCTGCTCTGGTGAACTAGAACTATGGCGTACTCTTTGTTTGACAGAAGAGCAGAAGAACAAAGATAGTAAAGAAATCTCTGAGATTTAGGCCTCAATTGGGAATAGATTATTTTAGTAATTTTTTGACTTTTTGGCTAAAATACGAGGTAAAAAAAAGTAGTATATTTGGAATAACTTTTTATTTTTTACGAAAAAATGTGCAAAAATTAGAGAAAAAAATGAATCTTTAGATTTTTTAGTGACTTTTTGGCTAAAATTAAGAGTTATCAAATGATGCCTTAGTGTGTTGAGATTGAAAAGGAGAGGTACTATCTATACACATGTAGGGACTGCCCAGCCTTAATGACATGTGTAATGCCCCAAAATATATGAAACCCAAACCTACAGTTATATCTTATAATCATCATTCAGCTCTCATTAACCAGGTAGAAACTTATAATTAATCTCAATCCTTCGGTAAGCAAAACATGTTAAACCCATTGTTTCCTTCATAGATTCCTTTTGGAGATTTATAAAATAAAATTACATGCATTAATACATTCACCAACCCTAAGACATGAATTTATAGTATGTAATTATGAGAACGAAATCTAAACTAATACAAGTTTAGGCTTTAAAGGTTACAAATTCAAGGCCTAGCCTCATTATATCAAAATGAGTTCAAAATTCAATACAAAGAAACCCTTGACTTTACAAAAATATAAATACAAATAGAACAAGCTTCATGCTCCAAAATCCTTCTTGAAAGGATCCATAATTTCATAGTTTTATGGAACTCTTGCAATTTTTTCCAATCAAACATGATTTTTGCGGGTTGATGGATTAACATTCCAATCACTTTTTCAATGTAGTGGGTGATGGCAGAGTTTGTCTGTCATGTTTGGCCCCCTCTGATGGGCTCTTTTAATGCTCTTTCAGCAAATATAGAGAAATTTCATTGAAAGAAGCTAGAAAATGCGCGCGCACGCGCACACACACACACACACACAAAATTAGTCTCCATCAAGAGTTTGGTGACTTGGTGGTCCTCCAACTAGACCTCAATTATGAACCATGCTTTGTTAACACATTCATAGACTGCTTTGTGGTCCTTTAATTGCATTTGGATTGTTTAACATTCTCTTTTAGTTGGGGAACTTCATGGAAGATAAGATAAGATTTACATTAAGCTTACATTTATTATATCTCAATCATCAGTGCTCTTCATCAGTTTTGTTGTCTGATATCACATCTTTACATAATTTAACCATAACAAGCAACGTTCACCACTTCACCAATATATACATATACTACTTAGTACAAACACATGTTGCACTCAAATTTCTTGGAGGATGACTTGAACTCCATTTTTTGGGGTGAGAATGAAAATATCATCTGGATAGTGGACATAATTTGGTGAAAGAGTGAACTTGTAGCGCTGCAGAATCATTGAGAGCGCAACTTTTGCCTCGTTGGTGGTGAAGTTCAAACCCACACAAGTCCGAGGTCCCATACCGAATGGGTAAAATGCTGCTGGGTTGTTGTTGGTAGCTTTAGCCACGCCTTCTGCAAATCTGTCTGGTTTGAACATATGAACATCCTTTCCCCATATTTGGGGGTTATGATGAAGTGATAGAACTGAGAAAAAAATGTTTATATTAGCAGGAAGAATTAGTTCCCCCAGTTTAACTTCTCTTTGAACTTTCCTTGTCATGGTAATCACCGGAGGATATAGTCTTAGAGACTCGTTAATGATCATGTTCATCTAACATGAAAAAGATAAGAGGGTGAACAAATTAGAATTTGTAGCAAATTGAATTCCTATTGTCAAATAGAGAAGAATCATAAATAGTAAAAGAATTTGCAAAAATTGCGAATTATGTCATATAGAATCTTAAAACAAAAGAGTCTCTTGATTTAATGTACTATGTAATGTTATATACACATATATCTATATAAGGATAAAGATATAGTATTTGCATGAAATAAATATTAATATAAACAAATTATTTATAAGTATATACATATAGAACCACATATATATTCATATAGAAAAAAGCTAAGAAGTCCAATAGAGTAGCCAGAAAAGTTATAGAAAATGAAATGTGTAGTGTTGATTCGAACTTAATGTGATTTGAATGATACTCACAATGAATCCCGTCCACACACTTCGTTGATGTTTGATTGGAGGTTTGAGGAGGATTGGAGTACGAGTGAGATGGGCCCCCCTCATGCTATGTTTGGTTAGGAAATGTGTGGGGGAATTAGTATTCCTATTGGAGTAGTAATCCTACACTATGGGGGACTAGCAAAGCTAGGAAACACATGGGATCAAGATACAATCCTATGGGATTAATGGGTAAAACACTATTTTATCCCTTAGCCTTTATGACTACAATAATGAACGAATGGTAATTGTGGAATTTCATAGGTTTAATCCCAATCAATTAATACCATTAAACTACTACACAAACATACTTTATTTCACATTTCCAACTTAATATCACCACATTATTACTCTCTTCTTTCAATCTCACCATACTCATAATCTCATCCAACGTAATCAATTAAACTAGCCCGGCCTTCATTCTATAGCAACTTTTCGAATAACTTTTTCTGCAGTCCATATAGCATTGCTAATCAATATATCTAATTTATCTCTTTTTTATTTTGTGATAGAGTTGAACTAAGTCACTAAGAATTGTAGCAAATTGTAGTAAATCATTAATTTAATCACACGATTTACTTAATTTCCAACAAAAGCACAATTTGAATTGTTTTAGTTGAAACTGGTATCAAATTGTTTGATTTGAATCGAAAATTGCACAATTATAATAGCCATAAATTGAGTTCATTGTTTGAAGTGCAAGAAGAATAAAAAAAAAAAGTTGCATAATTTAACCAAAGATGTTAATTTGCTCACAGTTTTTAGTCTTGCAATGCCATCCGAAGTTGGAGTTTTTAGGCCGAATAACTCGAGGATTTCCTTCCTTGCTTTCTCTTGCCAATCTGTACAGATTGATAGAAGAAAAATGGTCCAAGAAAGCAAGTTTGTAGTGGTTAAATGTCCAGCACCATACACTGTCTTGATCTCATCGATCATTTGTTCTATTGTAATCCTCTTGCTGTCATCATATTCATGAACAATCTTCACAAGTTGTCCAAGATAATCATTCCCAAAGTGATTACCAACTTTATCATTTTTCTTACTCTCTCTTTTCTTTACAAGCTCTAAAATGGAGTTTTTGATGCTTCGTTCAAGATTCTCTGCTTCAACCTCATCACTGGTTTTTAGTAGCCACCTGTAAAAAAATTGATAACTGACTAATGATCATATGCAGATAGTTACCATAAATAACCTATCTACCTTCCTAATGGACATAATACAAGTAACCATATTACTTAAATTAGTTTTAAATAAACTAAATGGTCACATATATATATATTGTATAGGGTGAATTACATTATTGGTCCCTATAGTTCTAGAAGATTCACTTTAGTATTTGTAGTTTCAATTTCATCAATTTAAACTCTACACTTTCAATTATGTTTGAATGTGGTCCATTCATTAGTTGTCATTAATATTTTAGACAAAAAATTGAGACATACGAAGCTAGAAAGACCAAAGTAGAATTCAAAAGAAACCACCGGTATAATTTATTTATTTTTCTTTCTGTGTATGAATTACTAATATTCCTAGGTGAGTCACACATAGTCATTTTTCTGTGTAAATACTAATGACAATTGATGTAACTACTACATTGAAACACAAGTGTAAGCATGGAAATCAAAGTAAATTTCACTTAAATTAGAAGGACCAACAGCGTAATTTTGCCTAATGTACATTACAACATGAGATTTCTAATCCAGTTATTTTCATGGAATTTTCCAAGTTGTGTGATGGCATCCTAAAACAAAAGTGAAACTCAAGGCATATATGAAGGGTGATGTTGTAAAGATGCTTTCTTAGTTATTTCAATTTGCCCTCTTTATACATGTACATGTGTAAGTTTGTAGACTTGATCGAACAGTCCACACTTACATGGTATGACTTGGTGATTGGTTGTAAGAACTGAGTGGTATACATATCATTTACTATGTTTATGAAGTTCAAGTTGAAGGGATGCCTACTTAATTGTTTGTGCTGGCCATTTCTTAGTGCAAATGAGTAGATTTAGCTCTATCCAAGTCCCATATGTTTGAAGGTAAAACATGCGTTTGACAATGGCTTTAGTTAAAATTGAATTTATCATCACTTAGGATAATGATATATGAACACAATTTTTTTTATATATACAAAATGATGTGTTCTTCTATAGCCCTTCCATTTTAAATTTAAATACCTCTCGTTATGACTCATAATTTTAAAAATGTTACTGCCACATCATTATGGATGAAATTTTTTTAAAATAAATTATTATTATTATTATTTAAAAATCATTTTCCTTATCAAATGTCACATTTAAGTGTGCTCAAATCCTCAAAGAAAACCATGTCAACTAAGATTTCAGAAATTGTTGAAGTTATTAGCTCTATCTCATGGAAAGAAAGCCAATAATTGGTTTGTTCAATAAGAGTTTTATTAACCTTCATGAGACATTTAACAGTAATTGTACCAAGTGATAAATTACCTGATGCCTGGAAACCTTATATTATAAATATTTTTAACAGTAATTGAAGTCAGTTTTGCCACCATCTCAAATATGTGCTTCCCTTCCCCGTAGCTACTCCCAAAAGCTGTTCTCGAAATTACTTCTGTTGTTAATAGTCCAAATTCTTTAAAAACATCGATCTCTTTTCCTTCAAACCCGTTCCACCTAGTTAGCATTGTCTCAACACTTGCACTCATTTCTGGAATCATACCCTGCATGTACCATCCCCACATATTATTACTAGAAACTTAGAACATTTAGTGTAATTTCTTATATGGAAAACACATTGTTTACTAAGGAGTATGCTCCCTGAATGCTAAAGGATAGTCTAGTGCACGAGAGTCCTAAGGAGTATGCTCCCTGAATGCTAAAGGATAGTCTAGTGCACGAGAGTCCTACCATTGCGGGAATAGGGAAATTTCACACTCTCACACGAAGAAATTGTTTCAGTGTGTCAGTGAATAATAAACAAAAATTTAACTTTGCCTCATAAGATAATTTATGGCAATAAACTTACTTTCAAGCTCTCGGCATGGAAAGTGTAATTGGCCAGTTTTCGTATCTTTGCCCATTTTTCACCTTCATTTGTTATAAGTGCTTCCCCTAAGAGCTTCTTTGCGTAGCCTTCCATGTCCATTTTTGGATACGCACCTTCTTTGTTGTTCAATATTTCTTTGATAAGCTCAGGTTCTGTAACAAACAATTGGGCTTGTGGACCATGCCAATTGAGAAAATTTGTTCCTATACTCCAACAGGGAAAAATGAAAAGAGAAGAAAACAACTTAAAGTTAGATCTCTACATAATTCCACCATTAATTAGTTAAACAGTATCATAGGTTGGGATTGAAAAAGGTAAAGCTTTTCCTTTGTTTCTATTTCTTTTGTATTTGTTTATGGGCGAAAGGTAAAGCTTTTTATGCTAAACTCTTGCCTTCTAGTTCATGTAGCCATTTCAATTTATTTTTAATTTTGATACACTCTCCTTTAGTTAAAATTTAAAGCTATCCTTATTACATTTTAGATAGTCTAGACCAAACGATCCTTAGTATACTACAATTTTGAATATTAAAAAAAGAAAAAGAAAAAATCTCAATAAGAAAAATATTTCAAAGATTTCTTTCAACAAAGTTTGACTTTTTCGTCTTGAATTGACTCTGTCTTCTTCTTCTTCTTCTTCTTTTTTCTTTTTTTTTTTTTCAACTTTTTAAATTTTTTCTTATTTCAAGATTAAAGGAACCTAAAAAAATAAATAAAAGAAATAAAAAAAAATGCAGGAGAGAAAAAACTAGAACATAAAGGTGGAAGGAAAAGGAAAGTTGAGTTGCAAGAACAGAGGGCATTGAGAATGTTGTGATTAATATATATATATATATATTTTTTTTTTGATCGGCAAAGAAATGAACTTTATTGATTGATGAAGAGGAAAAACTAATACAACAATAAAGAAAAAAAGAGGATGAGTACAAAAAGCATCCTAGCGAGCCAAATCAATCCCAACTAGGTTGGCACCAATAAGACCGCCCAATCATATGCTGGCACACCATCTACAGTTGGTGAGGAACCAACCACAAACACCCAAGAACATAAAGGTGGAAAGCAAAGGAAAGTTGAGTTGCAAGAACAGAGGGCATTGAGAATGTTGTGATTAATATATATATATATATATATATTTTTTGATCGGCAAAGAAATGAACTTTATTGATTGATGAAGAGGAAAAACTAATACAACAATAAAGGAAAAAAGAGGATGAGTACAAAAAGCATCATAGCGAGCCAAATCAATCCCAACTAGGTTGGCACCAATAAGACCGCCCAATCATATGCTAGCACACCATCTACAGAGGAACCAACCACAAACACCCAAAAACAACCTCACTAGACAAACCAAAACAAGAAAACAAAGATTTATTACCATAAATCTTGGTCCATGAGTAAACATGAGGTTGAATTCTTGGGAATATGTCATGTGATATTTCCATATGTTTGCCCATGGATTGACTTCTCATGCTGGTGATCTCTTTGGTGCTGCCATGGGGGAATCTATACGGTGGACCTCTGATTCCCTGTGACCTCATTATGCTTTGTATTCGCATCGGAGTCCACCATACCTTGTGAACAAACCTAATGAGAGTCCACAGGAGATAAACACAAAGACAGCTTAAGAGGATGATTAAAACAGCTCCAAACACACCCATAACTACTTATCCAATTTTTTCAACTCTAACTTAACTGATGAAACTTAGTTAACATTCCTTTATGATTTCATTTATACTTAGTTTCTATGTGCTCTAAGTGAGGTTTCCGAATCTTTTTTGCTGAATTTAGAAGACAGAAAAGTCCAAATACCAGTTTTGGCTCTTGGCTCCATTTGTTAAAAGTTAATTTCTCATTTGATGGATCACATGAAATTTTTAAATATTTTTAACCCGAGTAATGTTACGAATCGTGAAAAAAAATCATAAAAATGATCATAAAAGATTTTTCACCTTTGGATTACATCTAGAATAAAATGAGAAATGTTAGGGATCATAAGATTTTTTTCATGAAAATGATCATGAAAGATTTGTGACCCTTAGATTACCTTGATTAGTGTGTGGTGCTTTATTCTAAGTGTAATCCAAAGGTCACAAATCTTTCATGATCATTTTCATGAAAGACTTTTCATGATACCTAACATTGCTGGAATAAAATACCACACACTAATCAAGGAATGAAAAACCTTCAAGATACATTTCATAATATTTTTTTCATGACTCCTAATATTATTCTTTTTAACCCACAAAATGTTGGGACTCTTTTTGTTGAAAGGTGCTCCTAAATTTAGCTCTTTTTAATGAACTCAGTGGTGATGTTTGTAGAGATAGCGTCCTATAAAAATTTTGGAATTTATGTTGTTATCATGACAGGCAGCCTTCTACTAATAATTTGATGAAAAATCTTGACAAATCCAAGCTTTATATTTTAATCAGTAATGCTTTATATGATTTTTCATTTTTTTATATCAACATGTCATATGGAAACATATTGCCAATTAGGATTTTTGAAAGAAAATGGTTATTGAGTTGTTAAGTTTAACATATTGAGTTGAACAAATTTATAATTTTGCCTATAAAACTATAATACATGTCATTTATTCGTGCATTTTAATAATAATAATAAAACACTAACAATTATAATTAATTAGAATTGAGATAAAATCATAAATGTAAAATTAAAATCGAATCAATTAAAATTATAGACTAAAAAAGACGCAAAAAGACGCAATGGTGAAAATATGAGGACTACCAATATACTTTACCCTTAAAAAAAAATGAATTCTACAAAACCAGTATAATGCAAAAACAGTGGTGAAAAATCTAGTGATATATAAGATTGGGAGAGAATTCTCTCGTGTCCAAATCTGGACCGTAAAGGCATTGTCTAGGCCATGTTTTCATAATTTGAAAATTTTATTTTTTAAAACTTTTTATATATATCATTTATACAAATATTAGGTCTATTTGATAATTGTATCATCTTCATTTTATTGTGTTTGTCTCTATAAAAATAAATGTTAAGTGTATTTTTGAAAATGGATTATTCATTTTTTTAAAAGACAAACAAGATAAAATAAATATACGTCAATTATCAAATCAACTTAATTTTTGTGTAAATGATATACATGAAATGTAACGCCCCAAAAAAAGAAAATTATAACATCATATAAGTACATCAACCAACGTTCATTATAAGAAAAGATGTAATTCTTCAACCTTTGCATCATTGATCATTAAGGTTTGTACAAAATAGTTCCACATGCGAATTATACATTCAATGATATCAAATACATGAATCTATAGCATGTAGAATATCAAATCCAAAAATAAATAAATGTCCTCAAGGGCTTACAAATTCTAAGGCCTAAGTCTGGTTACACAAAAATAGTTTCTCAGGCCCATATAATTATAGCCCCTGGCTAGCAAAAATACATCACAACAAAAAAAAGAGCCATATGCTCTCAACAATTATGCCCACGCCCTAATTCGGCAGAATTGCCACATCATTTCCTACACCAAAATCCCATAGGAGTGAGTATAAAACCCAGTAGTAAATTCTTAACAAAATATATACATTTTATACAAGTTTCTCAAATGAAATGCACATGTCATGCTATGCCTTTTGAAAGAAAATCATATTTTTCGTCATTTGAAAACCATCATACTCAATGATCACTTAAAATTTCAACCATTCAAAAAGTTTCAATTTAGTTCAAGGGGCGGTAAATACGACTCCGGTAATCCCTAAGTTGGTGTCTGCAAGTAGGCATAGCTAGCACTACCAAATCCCCACTTCACCAGTGACTAACCGAAAGGCACGTGGTACCTCCTCCCCGCGTGTTTTCGATTTTTCACCCCAAACACTCAGGCCAACTTAATCAAATTCATCTACACCACCAATCCGAACTTACCAACATATTTATCCCAAAATATTTCAATAAATCTCATTTCATAATGTTTCTTTCTCAATGCAAAGTTTCAAATCCCAATTCAAAATTTTATAACAAACAAGGTATTGAAATGCCAATGCAACAATTAACCACACAATGTAATAGTTATACATGTGATGCCACATCCTTCCATTTACAAAACTTCCACACAACTATTTCATTTGTGATCAAAATTTCCATTTTTCTTCCCAATGCATTTCACAAGGTTACCATACATCTATAAAGATTCATCATTAGTAACAACATTACCACACATCATGTGTTCTCAGCAATTTAGCCATTTCATGACTATATCTACAACTTCAACAATAAATCCCAAAATTTTTCATTTCTCATATTCAACAAAATTTACCATTTTAAATAAAATCATATAAGAAATTTCCCAATCATTCATTCATTATGGCATATTAATAAGTAAATAAAGATTTCCTAGATTCTCAACCCTTTTCAAAATCTCAAATTTCTAGGTTTTTGACAAAAAGAGACATCTCTTCATCTTTTTGAAAAGCAACTCACCCAAAGCGCCTTTTCTCACACAATGTAGTTGAAACCCTCAAGAAATAGTTTGGAAAGAGTCAAAAGTTAAACCCACTCTTAAAACTTCTATCATTCTTGAGCCAAAAACCAAAATTTTCTTAATATCATCAAGGAAGCTCCCAAAAAGCAACACAAATCTTGCAAAAACATCTATATGACTCTAAGAAATCCCTACCTCAATCTTGTTGAAAGAAAAGAGATGAAAGCCCTAGATTTGACGGTTTTGAAATCCGATCTCCACCGCACAAGATGAATCCCTCGGTTAGTTCTTCAAATTTGATGAAGGGAGTTGGGTCAAAACTCCAATGGATATAAAAAAATCAAGGGTTTAAGATGTTGGGTGGAGGTTTTTAGAGAGAAGGGGGAGCAAAAGTTGGCTTTTGAGTGAGAAAGAGATATACAAAAGTGATACATACACAACCCAAGAAGAAAAGAGAAAGCTGATTTTCAGACTTAGCGTCTCCCACACGGTGCGGCACTCACTCCTACACATGCGGAGCGTGCCTCCCGCACGTACAGTACTCCCCCCCGGCACGTGCGGCATCTCCTCCGCACCTCCTTCTGCACGTGCCTTTTATGCAGACCCATTTTCCCTGTTTCCTACACGTGCGACCTCACCTCCTCGTGCGGCCCAAGGCCCTGCATGTGCGGCTCTGCCCCTCCCAACCAGGAAACTCTACAGCTCAACATGAGCCACTTCGGACCCAACCTTGCACCTTCCGAACATGAGAAACTCGACACATAAATAAATAAAAGCAAAGACTTGAAACAAGTTTCCAAATACAAAAAAACGAACTGTTAACAAGACTCTTGGTTAAACCCGACACCCTTATAAGGCAAACCTAAGGTTAAACAAAGAAGAACGAGACGAATGACATACTCGGTCATCACATGAAAATTTCTAAAAAATAAACAATTTGAATTATCAAAACAAAATCAATAATAGACTCTAAAAAAACTAGAAATCCCCTAGATATTGATTTATGATTATGTATCTATTTTAATGAGTAAATAGCAATCACAATCAAACAATCAAAGACAAATCAACACAACGATTTAACGTGAAAAAATCACAATTGGAGCACCTCCAATTGTGATAAAAAAAGCATGGGCAAAAGCCACAAAATAATCCATTAAAAAGACAAAAAGAATTATACAAGTGTACTCTCAATTACCTAGCGAATCCACGTCCGAATTAAACCGACCCTTATGTGCCTCTTCCAGCCCCGTCTTCACCTCGGAATTGTCTTGCCCAACGTTGAATCCACAACGCCGATGTCGAATCATGACTATGAGCCACTCCGGAATCCACCAAAGCTTCAGGCTCGAATTTCACGGAATCCACCGAAGAACAACACTCTCGTTTGTATTGAACGAAACAAACAATCCTTTGATGTATACTTTTCAAACTAGATTTAAACTCAAACAAAACATCAAAGAAACTAGCAAAGAAGCTCCAAATATAAACCCTAATATCCAAGAAGAAGTTTTGGAAGCCGTAACCTAAAATTTGGCTAAACCTTTTATAGCAAACTGTTTCGTGATCTCCACTTGAGCGCAAGAATGGAAGCTCGACCGGACTAACGCTCGAGCACAAGAAGTTTCGCCCGAGTGCAAAAACACAACTTCCAGTACTTTTGCAGACAGTTCAAACTTCTGGAACCAAAGATTCTCCGCTCAAGTGGACAAAGGGCCGCTCGAGCGAACAAGCAACTTCGACTACAATTTTTCTTTTGGAACATGAAAGAATTAACTTCTGAAACATCTTTGTAAGGCACAATTCGGGTTGGATTCGCATCTAAAAACTCAGAGCCTCATTGAAATAAAAGTTATACAAAATTACAACTGAAAGGAGTTTTGTCAGACGGAATTGCCAAGAATAAAAACCTAACTGACTCCACATACCCAAACAATACCCCTCCCGTCCAAATTTGGACCAGGAATAATCCTTTCCCTTCAAGATTTTCTACTCAATTTATCTGTATCACATCATAGATGGAGACTAGGAGATTAAAAGTGTGGCATCGATAGCAACCCCGTATATATATATATATATATAAGGGTGAACCTCTATAATTTGATCTAATTCTATTTTAATTTTTATAATTTTAAATTGAATAATTTAATTTTACACTTCAAATGTAATTTTAATTTGGTTATTTTGTTCATATTGGAGGTTAACATTAAGAATTTTGGGATACTTGTCAAGTTTCTAAGGTGTAAACGTAGACAAAATTAATAAAAATTTAGATGG